AGCGCCTGCGCGTCACGCCAGAGTCGGCGAATGAGTGCGGACAAAGGTGAAAAAAAAAAAAAAAACATGTTATTTTGTTATTTTGGTTAAAGTCCAGATACGTACACTCATGGCGGCTGATCGCCGATTCCAGCAAAGACAAGAAAGCAAACAGTGGGGACGCACGTTCTAACCTAACCTAACCTATTCTAATAAATTATCATAATTATTACCAATTATATTATTAGAATAGGTTAGGTTAGGTTAGAACGTGCGTCCCCACTGTTTGTTTTTGTTTGCCGCGGCGCAGGAGCCGCCGCCGTTCGCTCGCGTTGTCACGTGACACGTCGTCTCCAAAGCGGTCCGGTTTCGAGGCTAAAACAGGAAGAGCCGCCATGATGGTCTACGACCCTGGACATTAACCCGAACAACTTTGAAAATTGAGTTAAACGGAACTTTCGAACATTACAAATTCAAAATTACAACGTAAAATAAATTAACTATAAGGGTGCGGGAGATATGAGGCTGAAAGTGGCTTTCTATTTCGATTGTTCGAATTTGTTCGAATTAAATTTAAACATAAAATTCGAATATTGGTTCGATTATAGAACGATTGTAAACGTTCCATAAACGTTGAAAATAGTTCGTTCGACTGGACGTAAAAATTCTGTAATTAGTCTGGAAATGGGGGACCTAATTCTTGTATTCTGTGAAAACAGGTAAGATTGGCTATAATGTAATTATCTTAATCTTCACTATCGTTACTTTTTGCCCAGCGAAGCAGATCCTTTCAGCTAGATTCTAGATTACTTAGAAAAACGGTCTTTTATATATAAAAAAACTATATTACATACAAATAAAAACCCAGCGAAGCGGGTCCTTGCAGCTAGTTATACATAAATTTGGTGATCTTAAATTGATCTGTTCCAGTTCTTAACCTCTTGCCTCTTTCGTAACTTTTTATTAGCCCTTCAATTGTATTTTTGCCGTAACCCAAATTTGAAACTACTTCCTTAATTCTGTCTATCTCTTTAATCCTGTCCAATACATTGGAGCAATAAGTAAACGCTCTCCTAATGAGTGCACGAAATGCTGACATTTTGTATTCATGCGGGTCATTTGAATTAGCTGGTATGTATAGAGGATTGTGCATAGGTTTTATGTAATTGTATGTCAATATCTAGAAAATGTATTCTTTCGTGACTCTTCTGCTCTAGTTTCAGTTGTAAACCATCATTGTTGGTGTTGTTGATCACCTGTATAAACTCGTGTATTCTTTTGCCGTTTCTCCATATAATGCATACATCGTCTACATATCTTTTGTAAAATACAATATTTTTTTTTTGAAGCTATTAACAACTTGCTTTTCTAAGTTGGGTAAAACCAGTTCACATAAAAACCTTGACATTGGGCTTCCCATAGGTACACCTTTCTTCTGTCTGTATACCTGCTTGTCGTAGCTAAAGAAGGATTCATAACATATCAACTTGGCTAATTCCTTTAAATCATTCACAAATGCACCAACTTCCAGTTTTATGCGGAGCATAAATTTGATTAAAGCTTCGTAACAGGATTCTATCCTTACGGATGGATACAAGTATGGCACAAGCAGAGGCATCAGTAGTTAAATGGAATGAAGCGTTTATTCTCAAGACGTTGCGGTTCCCATCGTTGGCTTTGCAACATGAAAAAATTGAAATTTATAAGAGTAAATTAAGGGACAGTTGTATCAATGCAAGGGATGCTGATGGTTTAGCTTTGGCATGGAAGTTCTTTGTAAAAGAAAAGTTAAAACACACAAAGTCTTAGTTCATATCTGCCTTTATAATGTGATGCTTTTTGATATACAGTAGAGTGTCGATTTTCCGAATCAATTGGGGACTGGGGTTGTCCGGATTAACTGATATTTCGGATAACTGATTTACGTACGAAAAAATAGTTTAACGTGTCCGATTTCGAAATTTTTCTCCGTTGCGTGTCGCTTCGCGTTGAATTTTTGTGGATGTTAAGCCTAACAAAGACTATTGTATCATTAAAAATTTTTTTTTATTTTGTACAAACAAAATAAATAAATTGAAAAATATAAAAATAATAAAAAATTATACTTCATATGTTAATTTATTATCAAAAACGTAAAATATTTGAGTAGCCCAAGACATAGCCAAAGATTGAAGCGCCACAGCACTGGCGAAAATTTAAATTTGCCGACTGGAATTCTTTCAGATGATTGACTTTCGGAAAATCGACGCTCTATTGTATATATATATTGATGAATTTAATCATTTTTGTGCATTTAATCTTTTAGGTTTAATTTTGTTTTTAGTTTTATATCGCCTTATTTTATTATTTATATTAATAAGACTTCAATCTGTTTATTATAATTATTTTGTATAGTGATTGGTTAATTTATTCTACATTGTAATTTTGAATTTGTAATGTTCAAAAGTTCCGTTTAACGCAATTTTCAAAGTTGTTCGATAACTTATCACCTGATTCCATTCCTGAGCCTATTCCATTAGGCTGAAAACGTTTGTGGATTAATAAATATTTCTCAGCGTTATAAGGTGTTGAATGTTTTAATGTTTTAAAAGAAGCTGAGTTTGATATTTAATTTATTTCAATAAGTGCATTGGAATCTGTATATCATTAACATGTATTCTACTTTGTTTTTGTGACTATCTACTCTATGATTACCTTATTGATATTATCTAGTGCCGGATTAACTGACTTCCACCGTATTATATTCTTACTTATTTGATAGGATTTCGGTCATCTCTCAACGTTAATATTTATGATGTGCATTGCTAAATTTTGCCCAAAAATATAATAATTATTATTAATAATCTTTATTAGCAAAGAGGGATTATTCCTGTTGTGGGGGTTGTAGAAATTTAATTTATAAACATTCCTTCATAATAACATTAAATAATATTGTAATATTCAGAAGTTTTGTATACAATAGATTACATATTAGTTCATTATTAACACAATTAATAATTAATAACAATAGTTAAGTTTTACAACAGTATCATAAGTTAACCCTGCTGATTATTTACACATGGGTCAAGGAGGAGCCGGTCACCATCGCTGCGAATGAATGCGGCGTGGCCATGCATACAGTGGTGAACTGGTACAACTTCTGTCGGGAAATTGCGGAGGTTATCGTCTCTAACGACCAAAAACAGATTGGCGGTAAAAACCTATGCGTCGAGGTGACGATCGATCCAAGTTTCTAACTTCACCGATATGTCTATGTCTATGCCCTCTATATCTATATACATGTGTTTTTATTTTTAGGTTGATGAAACTTTTACCAGGAGACGAAAGTACAACCGTGGGCGCATAACCAAAGGCACCCAACTAACTATATTTGGTGCCTATTGTTGGGAAACGCGAGAGATGATGTACTGGCATGTAAGTAGTAACGAAACATTATTTCCTATTATTATTTACTTTTAGTGGAAGTGTTGTGTTATATTTTCTCGTATTCTTTCAGGTGGAGAACAAAAGCAGACGTGTTCTATTGAGCGACATGTCCAGATACATCACTCCAGGTTCCATAATCATTTCCGACAGCGCACCTCAATATCACGGTTGAACAACCGTGATATTGAGGTGCGCTGTCGGAATACAAGACCATTAATCACAGCCAGCAGGGCCCTGGGAGGTAAATACGATGAAACTAAACTGCTATGTGTTAAGTGAAAGAAATGAACAAGTGTTTTTGAAAAGGGTATGAAAATGACATTTTTCTTTTTTTCTCTGTGCAGATTCGTCAACAGCGATGATCCCAAGGCTCATACTCAAAACATCGAGTGTAGACATCGCTGGCTGAAGAAGTCCATCAAGTCACTTCGCACGAACAGGAGCCTGCAGAGCTACACATGTACTTATGTATACAGGACGCGGTTCCTGTCCCAGTTGCCAACAATATCGGCAAAATTTTGGCAGTTCATCGAACATATTGTGGCCGTCTACCCGGGTCCCGGTCGTGAAGGTCTCCAACTGAAGACGATCGGTGTACCCGTGGACGAAGATCAGCCACCAGACGAGCCCTATTTTGATGTGCACCTGCCTGACGAAGAAGAGCCGCAAGGAAATGACAACCCCCCCAGTGAGTAGTGCAGCTTTTGTATAGTGGACGTGACCAAAGGATAGTTCCTAGCAGATGTGAAAACCTGGATTATGTGATTTTTCAGACTTCGGATACCTTGGACGCAACGAACATCTTTGTCGTCGACCTGAAGGATCAAGCGGAGGCAGGGACCAGCAGCCTCAGCTAACCAGCAAAGCCTAGATGTCGCCAAATAGCGAGAGGACAGGGTCGAGGACAGCACCTCCTCTTGCGGGAAAAGCAGAGGAGGTGCTGTGAAGGTGAGTATCTGCTTTTTTTTTTTCCTTTGCTTTTTACATTGGCAGTTAAGTTTAGTTCACACTAAGCTCGATTTGCTGGCGAAGGCGAAAATCATAGCGAATAACACTTCAGACATAACATCGTTTCCAGTGAATTTCAAGAATCTCTTCGAAGTTCGGAACTGATCCCCGAAAGAGGAAATGATTATTTTTCCAAATGAAAAAAAAAATGTTGAGCTGGTTAACGACAAAATATCGGAAGTGGCCATTTTGTTTTTTGAGATGACGTTTTTGCTCGCTTGCAAATGATCGGCTGCTTAAAATTCGCAATTGCTTTTCATATTTGTATGGGTCAATTTCGCTAAGTGAATAAAAATTGCTTTTTGCATTGGCTTTTGATATTCGCTCAGTGTGAACTAAGCTTTAAGGCGGAAATGGTTAGAGAGTTTAGAAGCGGTTGCGGTTCCTATCGCTTGTGAGAGTTTTAACAGAGCGACAATGTGGGACGTAATACTTCTGCTTTGGCGGGCGTAATGAATTCATAAAAATTCAAATTGTCGGGGTTAACTAACTTAAAAAATTTTTTCGTTTATTTATATATGTCGTATAATGTTAAACGTTAAATTACTTAGCCTTTCTAACGGAAAAAAATATAAAAATACGTATTATTTCGGTTAAAGTTAGGCAGCATAAGTTATTTATTAATAATAGTCGACTTTATTGAAATATTAATATAGCCATAAACATGGTTTTCAAAAACAACGAATAAATTATTGCTATGTAATCTTTATAACTGAAACTGAAAATTGTATCAATATTTTATTTTATAATATAANTTTGATCCAATTGAATTTGAATATTTTTGAATCATTCTTTTATTATCCCTGCTCTAAACAAGTACTCTATGTTTTTGAATGAGCCAGACTAATTGATCAAAGTACAGTAGAGCGTCGATTTTCCGAAAGTCAATTATCCGAAAGAATTCCAGTCGGCAAATTTAAATTTTCGCCAGTGCTGTGGCGCTTCAGTCTTTGGCTATGTCTTGGGCTACTCAAATATTTTACGTTTTTGATACTAAATTAACATCTGAAGTATAATTTTTTATTGTTTTTATATTTTTTGATATATTTATTTTGTTTGTACAAAATAAAAAATAATTTTTAATGGTACAATAGTCTTTGTTAGGCTTAACATTGACGAAAATTCAACGCAAAGCGACACGCAACAAATAAAAATTTTAACATCGGATACGTTAAACTATTTTTTCGTACATAAATTGGTTATCCGAAATATCAGTTATACGAACAACCCTAGTCCCCAATTGATTCGGAAAATCGACGCTCTACTGTACATATTTTTCTTTTCTGAATAAGGAGCTGAAGTAGCTAGCTAGATTGCACACTTTTTAGTTGGACTAACTTTTCTGGAAGGGTGAAATTGAAGTGCAAATGCTGCTGAATATATGTAGATGTAGAGTTTTATTGCCCCCTTTCTCCTCTTATTAAATATTTGTTAAAAATTAATTTTTTTATACAAATAAATATTAATGTAAGTTAAATATTAAAATATTAACTACAAAAGTATTTGGGTAAACACCCCAGGCTCCTTTCAGAGTTCAGAGTAGAGTACCCCAACTACCTACAAGTCTGGTTTATCTTATGTATGCATGATTTTGGCACCAAATACTCTGTGCCAAATTGCAACTCCTGATAGATACTCCTGCATACCTCTAAGGTGTGCGTGCAGCTGTTGACAGCTGCATGAGTTTAGAGACGAGACAGTCTCGTCAAAAATCAAAACAAAATATTTTTGACAGAGCATATGACTTAACTTAGCATTTCAGAAATCTGTAAACAGAATGAAAGTATATTATAAGGATGTTTAATTTTTACTTGGAAATATATTTAGATTTTTGTATTTTTCTTCTAATAACTATTTTACACTTTTATCTATTTGTAAATTTAAATGTTTGGGATAATAAACTTGTATATGTGAAAAATTTAATAAATGACAGTAGAGCATCGATTATCCAAATATTGATAAACTGAAACGTCAATTAACTGAAAGCTTTCCAGTCGGCAAATTTACATTTCTGCTAGTGCTGTGGCGAAAAACTACTTACAACTCACAATCCAGTACCTAAGCAGGACAACTATTTATTTCAAAGATTAGGACTATAAAAATCAAGAGTGTGATAAGAATTGAGGAAATCTATCTTTGTGGTTTTTAACAGGGCTGCAATCTTTGGCTATGTCTTGGGCTACTCCAATATTATTTTTGTTGGGTGCATGTTTTAGCTGGCAGCACTGGTGCGATCATGAGAGGGTACTTAAGGACATGCCAGGATTTGAACGAATTTCAACGTAGGATAGGTTAATATATTTTTTCGTACATAATCAGTTATCCAAAAAATCGATTTTCTGAACTACCCCAGTCCCCAACTGATTCAGATAATCGATGCTCTACTGTACTTATTTTGTACTGTTACTTAATGTAAAAATTCCAAATGTTATTTATTAATCAATTTTCAATTATATGTATCAAAATACTTTTTCTAATTTTAAAATCTCTCTAGAAATTTTTAAGGGTACAATATATAAATATTTCTCTAACCTTAAGTGTCTAAGAGTACAATTAAAAATTAAAGCTGATTTAAATAAAAAAAAGCAGACATTTTAATTTAAAATCATTGTATTAAATATAAATACAATAAACACTTATTCAAATTATTTGAAAGAATAACAAAACTTAACAATCTAATAATTATAAATATGACTTAGAAATAGGCCATTACTAAATTTTTATCAATTGCAGTAAGATATATTGATTAATTCCCTAAACAAATTAAAATATTGTAATATTGTTATTCATCGTTATTTTTTTAAGATATAAAATGATAAGTAACAAATTCTAATATTACACAGTTTTCATTAAAGCCATCAAATTGTTTAATTTCATTATATTTTGCAACATGTTATTTTAGTGATATTTAGTCAGATCTATTAAAAGTAAACATTACTACTTCACAATTCCAAATTTAAGATTTTCAAAATAAATCATATACTTACTGTATGAATGTATCTAGAATGGAACTCAGTAGCTTCTTTTAAAAATGTTAACCCTGGATGAGTATCAATTATATCCTGTAATATATTTAAATGCAATTTTACTCAGAAATTATCATTAACATTTAATATTAATATAGAATAAATTTGATTCAAATAATTATTTTTCTTGAAAATCAAATATTTATTTTCTAGATATAAAATTAAAAATATAGAGAAATAATAAACAAATGTTTCCTTTCTAATATGTAATTAGATAATTTTAAAAAGTTTACATACATTATAAAATTAGCTGTACTTATCTCTGTGTATGTGTACACTCACATATGCATATAATTTTAATTATCACATTTTAAATGCATATTTTAAGTTATGTCAAATCTTTACATAGAATACATTTTTAACTTTAATGAATAAATCAAAGTAAATATGAAAAAACAGAATGATAAAGTGTATGAAAATTTGTAGCAAATATAAGTATTAAGTTGTAGATATAAGTCTATTATACAGAATGGTTTAAAAAATAATAAAATATAATCAAAAGCCAACATAGAATATTTTCTCTTTGGAAATAAACATAAAGTAATTTATTATGAANCACACATTTATTATTTTTTTATTACAAGATGAAATTTTTTGTTCTAAAAAAGTTGTAAAACTAAAAAAATTCAAACTGTGTACATCCAGTCTGGATACATTATAAAATTAGCTGTACTTATCTCTGTGTATGTGTACACTCACATATGCATATACATACACACATTTATTATTTTTTTTATTACAAGATAAAATGTTTTGTTCTAAAGAAGTTGTAAAACTAAAAAACTTCAAACTGTATACATTCAGTCTAGATATAATTTTATTCAATGATTTTCATTGTGAAATAAAAAGATCTTTAAAATCTATACATAAATGATCTAATAAATTCATAATTATTAGATTATGAATATCATTTCTTCGAATTTTCGTATTAAGCATGGTAAACTACATATAAAAATGCATCAATGCTATTACAAATTATATTATATCACTACAGTATTACTAATGAAGACTTTACTAAGAAAAAAAATCATTTAGGNATGCATTACAAAGATTCTCATTCAAATAATTATACTGTAACTAGCTCTATTGTAGAATGTTTACATGAGATATTTCAACATTTTAGTTTTATATCATACTTTTAAACAACCTTTACTTAAACAATTTAATCATACATCTAAAACAGTCGTCCATCCAGGGGTCCACGTAACATTTCTGGACATCCACAGTAATATTTTACTGGTCTATAGGGTAATACTACTTCAGCACAATTGTTTTACTGAGAACTAAATTTCTACATTATATACAAGGTCTGTTCAAAAAGTATCGGACCTTTGGTCGGCAAAAATAAATTTATTGACTTTGAGGTACAAAACCCTAATCCCCTTCAAAGTAGTCTCCTTGGTAATGTATACACTTCTCCCAGCGTTCCTGCCATTGCTGGAAACACTGCTGGAACGCATCTTTTGGAATGGTTATCAGCCGGTCCGTCGCATTTCGCATGATGTCTTCTCTCGACTAAATTTGGGTTCCTTTTAGCGGCATTTTCAGCTTGAGAAATAGCCAAAGGTCACA